ATATTAACTTTGGATTCATATAAATATATAATAATAAGTCATGTTGAATTCCATAGTGCACTCAGCAATATGATTGGAAAAAATGTATCTGTGTAAATAACAATTAATCATAAAATATAAATATTATGTTGTTACTTTCTTGTTATTACTCACAAACGATCCATTCACAGACATGGTACTGCAGCTGCTGCTGCTTGAATTTTGGAATTACACAAAGTTAAACAACTCAAAATAAGGGTAGTAATTGAAAAAACAGAAGTTTATATACCAACAGGACACTCCTTGAGCAATATAAAAAATCTCACGAATTAAAAAATATGGTCTTTAACTACTTAAACCTATACATACCTACAACCTAAGTATGTATAAAAAATTCAAAAATTAGATTTCGAATGACTGCATTATTAAAACGGGGTGAGCTTGCTTGGTGAATCGCTCTGTATATAAATTGATTGATTTTCATTTGTCTTGTATAGTACTATATAGTAATAGGATGTTGCTGTATACACAGTGAGGTCGAGACAATTAATTCGTTTTACAATTTTAGAGAGAAAAACGAGTAGTTAAAACTTTATGGAAAAAAGTGATTTTTATCACAGTAAGTTGCATCGAGGGTGGTTTCTGAAGGAATTGGAGGTTTCCATATCATTATTTTTTTCTTTGATAGTAAACGATAAAACCGTTATACGGAGGAGCGGTGAATAACGAATAAAGAACAATAATTATGTCCGTATTATCATAACGTAGAATATAAGAATGTTGACAAGAATAAACGTCTGCGAGTGACAGACGAGTGAAATTATTAAACCCTTTAAAATGTAGTTACAATAGGGACTAAAATGTACACTATATAAACTTTCTATGAAAAAATAACTGAAAAAATTTGGTTTTTTTTGTCCAAAAATGGAATTATACATTTTTATAAAACCATATATTTATAATATTCAATAGTAGTTATTTAATTAGGTACATAGTTAAGTCACGAAATTCGAATTACCACATTCAATTTAGAACAATAATAATTATAAATTATAATATATAACCGAAGTCGGAAATCATGTTTCCGAAATATTCCAAAAATATAAAATTGGTACCTAATAAAAATATATTGTTTTTATTTAAATGTTAAAGGGCTTTGATTTTTAAAAGCTATTTATTATTCTAAAAGGAATTCAATTTTGTACAAATACCTACTAATATTTATGAAATTATATAGATTACTTCTTCAGAGTTGTTTTTTCATCTATGTTTAATCAAAAAAACATAAATCCCAGGTATGTACTACCCCGATTCGTGTTATTTGTAGTACAAATTCCAGGATTCCATTATATCCAAAACTTGTAAAAGCTCAAACACAGCGATTTGCCTTAAATAATATAACAGTCGTTTGTTATTACAATCACTAGAAATCAAGATTAAAAATAAATTAAACAAATTAAAAGCGAATAAAAATATATAACCAAGGACCACTATTGTTTAAACTCAAACTCAGACGACTCGTAGGCCATTATTATGGAACCCAAGCTATAAACTTATTGAAATTATACAACTGGCTTTTTCATACGCGGAAATACCACTAAAATTGACTCGAGTGCTATTCAAGTATACACTTCTCGTCATTAAAGTATAAGGGTCCGTCAAAAAATAGTTTAATGTTAATTATGAAAATACCTTTTCAAAGTAATAATGTACTTTTTTTTAGCAATGGTTTTTTACTTTGATGTCTTTATATCTTTGAAAGAGGTGTAGCGCCATTTTTTTCTACAGCCCAAGTTTACCTATTTTCAAGGAAACACGGCCTACTTTTAATTAGGTATTTTTTTTATTGTTGTACTACCCCTCCACATGGTACGCGTTTTTATCATCGGAAATGCGAGAAAATGTGGGAAACCGTATAATATAGCATAGGTACAAAAATATTATATTCTTCGTAGCATATAGGTATAAGGTATAACTATTTGAGAATAATATTCATATTATATAGGGTGTCCTATAAAGTGTGCAACTTTTAAATATGCCACCATTTTTTTTGAAATTTTGTTGGCACAACTGTTTTTATCATTTCTAGTATCTACTATTAATCCGATCTAATTAGTAGTTGTTGATAAAAAAAATGATAAGAACAGGGCTGCCAACAAAATATAAAAAAAATGACTGTAGGTTTAAAAGTTGCGTATTTTATGGGAAGCCCTATATAATACACAGTAGGTACCTATGTTGATTAATTTTAAAGTCAGTACCTCTAATTCGAAATACAATGCAAGTAATATATTGTAATTTTAATTATTTTTTTCTATGACTACTAAAATCCATTGATTACAATTGTTACAATAGTTTAAAAATTTTTTTTCAAAAAGTGCTTAAAATGTCAACGAGTAGTGAGATCTTTATTACCTTATATTTCATTAGTATTAGTAAGTTATTAAAGTGTGAACATAGTGAAAATTTATAATAATATTATTCTATATTGTTTAAAATTCAAGTTGCTTTCATTCATTCGAAATTCAACCGATATAAAAATTATCTTTTTTTCATGACTTAAATAAATAATAAAACATACAACAAAATGTCTATAAATTAAAAATTGTTTAATAGAAGAAAACATTAAAACTTTTTTGAATTTTTTTTAGATAGGTAATCTTAAATGGGGGGTTATTTGTCATATTATATTACATTAAAAAAATGCACTAGAATATTTGAATTAGAAATGTTGAATTATGCATACAGGTTGATAAAATCGTTTCGTCCAAAATCCTGCCAATTAACCGACTGTTAAAAACTTGGTCTAATATTGAACTATTTTACAAAATTCATAAAGTTCACATTGAAATCTAATATAGACTGCCAAAGTTGTGATTTTGCTGAATCGAGATAGAAGAATATAATATAATTATTATTAACGAATATAATTTGCAAGCAATAAATAAATATACTATAACAATATTATCGTTGCGCTACCCATAGTAATCAGTGAACTACCTATAAATAATTGAAATGGTTTCTGAATGGTGATAAAGGGTTAAACACTATAACGAAAACATAATTATTTTTCTTTAATTAGATTTTATGATGACACATTGTTATTTTAAAATAATTTAATTTATATGTAAAACTTGTCATTTGCAGGAGATTACCCCCAGAGTAGGACCCTGCATCAATGTCGCGTCATATTACGTTTGCAACAAATTGAGTAAGTCGTTTCATAATGGGCTTAAATTTCAATTTAACTTGCATTCAAGGAATATAATATTATATATATTTTGACATGTTGTCAATGAAAAAGTTAAATAACAAAAACCGAAATTTATCTACTTGTGGTTAAAACGAAAATAACACGCGCTTTCTTCAATAGTATCTATACCATTCCTCCTTTCCACCACAAACGATACGATGGCTGACACTCGTGTCGACTAAATCAAAATATTGTCTATATAATATATAATATAATATAATACCGATTATCGTTAAAATTAATCCAATAATTATTGTATATGCTAAAATGTAGTTTAACGTGTGATGGACAAATAGAGAATACCTATTTATGTTATGTAGTATACCTCGGCATTTATAATTTTTATGAAATATAGGAACAATACGTTGTCCATATAATATAAGATATTAGCAAATAGGTACTTTACAAATAATTAATATTTCGTTATTAACACGAGAAAACCTCACATGTCCCAAATTTCTGACTTCGAAGTTTTGATATCCCTGGATTTAGAAAGAAATAAGCTACCTATTTATGGATAAAATCTCCTATGTGCTATCTGCATCGTAATGTAATCAGAGGTATATTATAGTACTACTATACTAGATGCCCTTACTCTATATTCTACTGTGTATGTGTTTTTGAAGCCAAGTAGGTTGGGCAATGTTTACAAACCCTTATAAATATTATATTATATAATAGGTAGAAGATTGATAACATAGATTTGTGAACATTGCACAACCTATATTATGACGATTGGCTTCAAGTATGGTCTCCGAGTCGGGCATCTAGTATTATATGTATATATAATTGCGGAAAAGGGAAATGTGAAGTTTATAAAAATGTAAAAAATGTATAAAATTCTACTACGCATTTAATAAAAGTGAATTTTAACTTTAAAACGGTCATAATTCGTCAAGTGAACAGTAATAATTGTAAGATTATTAACTATTATACATAATAGCGAATATGTAAAAAAAAAAAAAAGTAGCAAGGGCTGTCTTCTACTTGTTATCAAGATATTGATCTTAATGTTTTAAATTACTACTAGTTACTACTGTATGGTTAACATTTCATCAGTTCATGGTTTCCTTTTGTGCGTCACACTGATACAACATAAGACGATGGAAATCACAACTGCTATAAAAATAATCGTGACATAAACATTTGTCTGATTAAAATTCCATGCCATTCTTTGTGTAATAATCGTTCAAAGAAATCAAACGCTGACGAATAGAATAATCACTAGAATGAATCTTACTGAACATTTTACTTTCAAGTCAAGTGAAAATTGTAAAGAAAGCATAATGTTATTCACAACAGTATAAACTTAAAAATAATAATAATAATAGTAATAACAAAATGCACCATCTACTGTATCGTTAAAAATAATAATATTCTGTAGTACCCGTGATACCGATTGTTAAACGGAGACGGCCGGAAAAAGTTTCAAACGCCTTTTACTCTATAATAATATATTATTCTTCGTTGACAAAAGATTTTACTGCCGTATCGAAATTGATTTGAATTAAACAATAAATTCCCTATATTAGACACCTATTAACTTTGCGGTGATTTGGTGACGAATCGATCAAAATAGTATAATAATATTTGTTATGACGTAGAGGAAGAAAGTTTTTTTTTCAGAAATTACAATATAATAATAATTGTGATATAGACTCATTCGATATGCGGTCAAAGTCGACGATTACAGTCCGAGTAAAAAAAAAAAAATACAAATTAGAAATATATTATAATTATAATAGTGCTACAATAGAGGTATTCTTACTTTTTTCAAATCCTTGCCCGAGTCGCTCCGGTCGTCTGCCAAGTATTTACGCTTGTTTGTAATGGGCTCTTCGTCGGTCTGGAAAAAAAAAACACAAGATTATAAAATGAGACAGTAAAAAGAGACTCAAAGAAATATAAATTATTTTTTCTGAAAGTCAGAGGTCCTTTCCGCGCTCACACGCACACTCTATAGACGTAAAAAATGCCCATTGAAATATAGGCACTCGACAAAACTCCGGTGTCTGACACTTGAACACTGCGACTTTAGTTCAAAATTATATTACTAGGTATTATTATTTTATTTTTATCGTTCTTATTATTATACGTGCCAACATACCTCGATGACGAGTGAATCCTTCCCGTTTGCACATCGAGTATTCAATTATATTACGTATTATGTTCTATTTAATAATATATAAGGAAAATAAAAAAATTTCAACGTGAGCATCGAATAAGAATAATAGTAATTTGAATTCGAGCAGTATTGAATTTTCATATTTTAGTTTATGAAATCTGGGCCTTCTAATATAAAATATATTCGTGTTTTTTTTTTCATTAATGTTGTATGAATCTTGTAATAAATTATATTATTATATAGACATTATACATATAATATACAATATACATTTTATACTATACAATATATGTACTTAAGAATGTTACAATCAGGAAATTATTCAGCGTAACTATGTTGGTATTATATTTTATTACAGAGTAACTATTTAAAAAAACAGAAGAGAAGAAAGTGCCAAATGACAAGAGGCTCTGTACCAAAAATATTTAAACTTTAATTCTTTTTAAATCCCGAGCGGAACGAGGAATGTATTAGTTTTAAAATGTGTTTTTTCATAGGTCACGTTTTGGAGCAGAAAAATTGCTTCAATCTTATCATTGAAAGTTGTTTCCGGTGACAAATTTAATCTAGGAAGTCAAAAGTGGGAAATAATCAGATCTTTTCTCAACAATTGGAAAAAAAACGGGAATATATTTCAATAAATTATTGAGGATATTGATTTTGTTTTTTGTTAAATTTCCGAATGAAATTTACCACAGGGACTTGAACCTTTAACTAGATAAATATTTATAATGGAATTTTCTATAGGCACTGTGACATATTGTTCAAAATATTTAGACTAATTGTATGGTATATTCATACAATGAACATGTTTACAACGTTCTACAGTAGACATTATTGAGTTATAAGTTAAGAGCAATAATGTATGATATAATATTATAATAATTAATGTTATACGTGGTAGATATATGCGATAATACCTATACTATATGTGCTATTGGTAAAAATTAATTCATCCAATATAACTGAAATAATAATGATGAGAAGCTGCAGAATCTGATCCTAAAATCTCCTTTACTTAGCATCGTTTTTCGTAATCAATGATTTTTCATTAAATTCAAATTCATCACATTCATTACAGTGACCTACTCAATGATAATGTACACTTGAGACCTACAGTTGACTACAGATCGAGTTTCCCGGTTTCTTATATAATATATATACTTCAGATTTTTGTTTTAGGTTTCATTAGTTAAACGTTTTAAATATTTGAAATAAAACATCCTTTAAGTTAAATTAAATTCCTTGTTCAAATAATTCGTATACCTATATAGCAACTAGATTTATTTTGATATCACATCACATCTTATTAATTCTCGTTTAGTTGATAAAAAAAGAAAACTTTTTCGTAAGTTTACCAAAAGATGAAAATTATGTTTTTTCCATTATTATACGCCATAAACAATATTTAGAAGAAAGAAAAGTGAACTTTTTGTGTGTCATAATAATTTCCATAGAAATTATAAACTGTACATTCGCCATTTGGCATTTCAGTGAAGTCCCAGACATAAATGTTTTTATATTGGATAAAAACTTTACTGGCGAAATGTTGGCTGTATACAAATATTTCTATAAAAACTTGTATTTTAAGATAAACAATTGTGAACAATATCGATAGCCTTAAAATGTAGTTGTTATATGGAAATCTGTAAATCTCCCTTTCATTATTCAAATCCGTTAATCTCGATCACAAGTTTAGTTTACTAATTACTAAATTTTTTTAAAAAGTTTTTGGCACGACGAAATAAATTAATTAACCAAAGATAATGGCTGTAGACTGCGTATAGTTAAATAACTCAAAATAAAAAAGCTCTGTAAAAATATAGGTATCGTGTGTAATGCAGTCGTTAAAAAAAATTAAGGAGACATTAACGAAAATGTAAAATAAAAGTAGGTAGGTACCTACAAACAAAAAGCTTAGAACACATAATGTAACTTTAATAAAAACAGACATCATACATGCAAGGTAAAAGTTTTAAATTGGATTTTATATTCTCATGAATAAATAAAAAACCAAAAAAATGAGACGGTTTGAATTGTGTAATTATACTCATCATCTGCACTCATTTCGAATATTGTAAACGATAAACAATTTGTAGGTCGTAGGTACCTACCCATATATTGTATATTTTATAGAAACACGAAACATATTATTCTTATTGCATTTCGAACCCGTAAGTTCTAAAGAAATGACAATATTTTAAATAAACTGGAAATGTATCCGATGTAGCTCATTGCCCCCATTGGAACTTAACGAAACATAACTGCACAAGAGCATTGCGTATTATGTAGGTAAATGCATTTTTTATTTCGTTGTAAATATTATTATATTATGAAATACGACTTCATGCATAGATAAGACGTATAATAATACAGTACAATAATGTTATTATGTTTGTACTAAAAAAAAAAAAATATATTACAAACTTTTTATAATAACGTCATTGTACTGCTTCTGTTCCGATCTGTAATTTTGACCAAGTCTCATAAAAACCCAAGACGTACAGCATTATATTATTATAATAATATAGAGGTGGGTACTATCAATATCGGCTACCCATTGAAGTATGTGCAGTTGCCGTGCAATGCGATTGTTCGACCGTTAAAAGTGTATTATTTTGTAATAAATGTAATAATATGAAAGTTAATATTTTTGGTAGCTTATCGATTTATTAATAACCGATTGTACTACAAACGGAAAACGTCAACATTGCCTACTTACAGGATGCAACTGCTGCATCAGTGGCCTATGTGTTATGTAAGTTTACAACTAGCAGGGTCACACATATCTATAATATTGGGCTATTCATTAGATACTATTGTTATTTCAAAAGATATATTCACTTTTTTATTTTTGTGTCTGTAATCACCTTTTAGGACAGTAAAAGTGGTTGGATTTTGGTACTTTGGGGGAATCAAAATTAAAAATTTTGCAGTAGTTTTCAAAAGCGCCGTGAAAAACAAAAGAAAAATTAAGGAAAAACGGGAATTTTTACGCAAAATCTGTTTTCGAAAAAATCGATTTTGGTTTTTGGTGCAACTCTTCAACAAATGACCTTAGGTACATGCAATTTTGACTGAGTGTTTAGATTAGCATTTTCTATACACCATAACATTTTCCAAATATTTTGAGCTCTTTACTGACATTTTGAGTTTCAATTTTTTTTTTAGTTTTTTTTTCAATAAATATCAATAAAATTTTATTTGTTGGGTACAAAAGCTTCAAAATTTAATAGAAGGCTCCTAGTATATTTTTTCAAACAGAGATGAAAAATATTAAAAATCCATAGTCACAATTTTTTTTTATAAGCATTTAAAGTTCAAATATTGACAAAATACGTAATAATGACGGAAATTTGCAAATTATTTCTAGTTAGAAATTCATAAAATTTTTTCATTTTAAATCTAAGATTTGAAAATGTAATACAAGATTCCTCATACATATGTCTACCATTATCAAAAAAAAATGTCTACGAGAAAGTCAAATTAAATTTTTATGAACATTTTAAATTCATAATTTTACAACATTTGATATTCACTCGATTTCTTATGTAACGATTTTCTTATTTTATTGTAATTAAAAAATTAGATACTTGACTGTATATACTTGAAAATGTCACTGAATGTTTATATTAGTATTTTCTATACACTATACAATTTTGAAAATAATTTGACTCTTTTTAAGTTGCTTACGGACATTGTCAGTTTTCAATTTTTTTAGTTTTTTTTTTTTTATAAATATCAAAAAAAAATTGTATTTGTTTGGTAAAAAGCTTGGAAATTGAATACAATTATCCTGATATATTGTTAGAATAGCAGTTGAAAAATATTAAAAATACATATGCATAATTTTTTTTTATAAGCATTTAAAGATTGAATTTTGGCAAAATTTAAATTTAAAATTGAATAATTACTTTGTTGTTAAAAATGAATGAAATGTTTAACTTATACATCTGAATTGAAAATTTAAAACAAGATTCTGTGTAAGTAGTTTATTCTGTTACCAAAAAATCTAAAAAATACATAAGCACAGTTTATTTTTATAGTCATTTTAAGTTCAAATTTAGATGAAATTACATATTAAAAAACCTAGAATAACTATTTTAGTTATTTTGTTGTGGTTGTATAATATTGTTCGTGGGTACTTGAAACTTCTAAAGTATACTACTATATATCTATGATAGTATCACGGTTTGTTATTGATGTATAACGCGTTATAAGTACCTAACGGAATTGTGATATGATTAATTTGGAATTTATTATAGGTCAATTATCTATTATTGGTCAATTTTTTTTTTAGTACCATATTAGTAATGTATATAATATTATGTCCTATACCTAGACTGACACACCGTCTCCGCTCAGAATCGTTTTTCTTATACAATTATATTATATCATTGAATTCAAATTGAACACCGTCCATTATACAGTTACCCCCTTGTAACCTACTGTACATCAGAGCACCTTTTTTTAATTGTTTTTATCTCACATAATTTTCGTAAACGTCTCCCACCGCGCCGGTCTGCGCCCTTCTTTGTCAGTCGTATACTTTTATAAATTAGATACATTAAAAGGGGTAGGCGGATCGCGCGAAATGAGTTTTAATGACTGGGCGATGCGTACATAAAACCTGTGATAATTAATACGGATTTCATTCGAATTCGTGTACAAATGTCATTAGGCCGGATACGAGGCCATAACAGGGCAGGTTTACTTCGGGTGGTTATGATAGGAGAACGCCGTTAAAACTCTAATGGACAAAACTTCAGATACTTCGCTGTAATAATGAATATTATTATTGTCTATTGTAGTTAGGAGGGACAAAGCGCGTAGCATTAATAAAATAATATTATATAATAATACAATATACAGTGGCGCCGTTCCGTTCGTCAGTAAGTAATCACGCAACTATTATATACGCTTATAATTAGGGCTGAGGTTTTAATGACCTAAAAAAAAGCAAAAATAAAAATAATACCATAAACAAGTATACAAAAATGCCTTAATTTTTTATTTAAAATGTGTTTAAATATTCAATTTAAAAAGGAACATAATGGAAACATGTTAGAATGATGCATTTTTATCTTCAGAAGACATATAGTGTAAAATACTAATCCAAGTCGAAAGTGTCATCAGCGGGTGGCCCATTTCCCCAAATTATGTAAATCATTTTTTATTTGTTTCCCTCTTATCGTAGATATATACTCATTATGTCTTAGATGTAGATTGTATGTTTTCTTCTTCTAAAAAAAAATACTAATGACATTAAAATATATGTATATATATTGTCATCGGCGCTTTAATAATTATTTGCTGATATTATGAAAACGGTGGCGCTTTTCTAAAATATATTATTCGACCATTATACGTGGTACCTCTCTAGTTTATATTATTTTACGAATTGGTACAAAAATGTAAGTTCTCCAGAAAAAAAAACTGTGAAAAATGTTCTAAAAACATTGGAAAATCGTCTAAAAAGTCGAATAATGTGTCTATAAATGCAAAATAAAAATATCTTTCAAATACTCAATAACACCCAAAATACATTTACTACCTACCCCTAAAGCTACGAAGTTGAGAAACAAAAAATACATTGCATCAAAGTCCCACCTATACCTATTTATGCAAACCCTGTGGCTTATTTCGGGTACGTTTCCGTTTTCCGGTTTCCGTCATAACCGAAACATATATGGGTACGTATAGAGGGTTAAAGATTATTTGCTATTAGTGATAGATTTGCAGTGAGCGACATGAGCCGTGTACAACTTCAGAGTTATAAACGACAATTTATAGCGTCGATTTGGGGGTTGCAATTTTTTTTTTACAACTCGCGTATGCAGTATTGAGATCATCAAGTAAATAATTAAATTGGATCATAAACGACAAATTCAACCGTAGTCGCCATCCGATAAAAGTTTATGTAGTGTGCAGTTAACGACTACTTATATGTTTTAATATGCGTCAATAAGTGTGTAACTTTTCGTGAATACTTAATTTTGTCTAAAAGTAAGTCAAAATATTGGAAGTAATTCTTAGAGTATTGAAAAACATTAAGATCAAATACGTTTTAACTATTATATTATGATGTACCTATTGTTATACAAGACAATTTTATTTCTAAAGATTAACTTGCGTTATTAATATATGGAAAAATATATATAACTGTTGTTCTAACAAGGTTGGTTAATTATTAGTTAGGTACCAACAACAAGTTTTAAAACAATGTCAAAACCATGTGTATTGCCTCTTCTGAAAAGTTTGGACTGTTTAGAGAATTCGTCACTTACAGCAAAACATAACGATTTAACCGTCAAATCATACTGTAGGTACCATACAATTTGAAAACCCACAAGTTAGACGACCAGCACCAGCAGTATCATTTAAATCAAGGCGTGTTATTGTACATTTTGTATTTTGTAGTTTGTACGCTACACGCAGCTACAGTTAACGATCTCATTTCCAAAGTATGTTAAACATAATTTATTTCTTCATTTTCATTTATTATGTTTTATTCATTTTTTTTTATATCCATATGATTAATAATAATATACCAGTCAGTCATAGTCTTAATTTTACAATTATATTATGATTTATGAGTTAAGTATTTGAGTAAATGTATATTAATTTAACATTTTTTTTTTCACAAACTTTCACAATTTATAATACTTACTCGGGTAACTTAAAATCGTCCGATACCTGATATAGGCATGTTAATTTAAAGTATACTTTGCTCAATATTAATATTTTTTCATTACTTCGTAATGTTCGTATAGTTATAGGAAAAAATTGGGTTATACGGTTTTCACTACAAATAATACCTACCATAATGACCTATCTAGTTAAAACTTATATTTGTAAAAAAAGAACTTCTCCGAGCAGTTCAGTTAAATTTAATACTGTCCAATAGTAATAAGTTGAGTCTAGTTTCGGTCAAACCTCTGCTTGACTGGTTCAGACCGGAACGCATAAATACAGACGGTAAACTAGACTTGGGGTGGCTCTGAAGTCGCTCTGTTGTCGTCAGCATAACATTTGTTTTCTAAATAATATATTTACGCACGTACGTACGATAATAATTTAACTGCTTCGACGTGTTTTAATCTAATTAAATGCTCAGTACGCTGAAGTGTAATAATATTATTAGAGTTATTATTAATTAAATAAATTTAAATATATTTTGCCGCACCATAATCTTACAATAATGCTTTATGAATTTTGTTTTTCAACTACTGCTGTAAGTAAAGTTCTCGTAGAATATTTTTGAGAATTACTCCAGAACTGAATAAAAATCCAAACATTTTTTGCTATAGTTTTCAAGTAGTGTGTTTGTAGTGTTTGTACAAAAAATATAGGGTGATTCAAAAAGTATGATCATATCCTTTTTATCTCTTTCCTAATTTAAAAGTTTACCACCATATTATTCTTAATAAAATTGAGAATTGACCTTCATACTGTAAATTGTTGTGTATAAGAGTTTTTTTTTAAAAATATCGATATCTCTAACTCAGAATATGAACGAGTAGCTTCTAATTAATTGAAATGTATTTACTAAATATATTGGTCCTTAAAAATGGTTTACAGAAATAATATTATAAAATAGATTATGTAAAATTGGATCTAGTATCAATACTAGATAATATTATAATCAGGCAATTTATTGTTCTTAAAATATGTTTATAGATTAATATTGATTACTGTAATATTTACAAATCATAACCGGCACCATATCTTTTCAGTATT